TGCATGAGGCCCTGGGTTCGATTCCTTAGCACCACATAAGCAAACCGGAAGTGGCGCTGTGGCTCAAGTGGTAGAGCGCTAGCCTTGAGCTGAAGAGTTGAGGGACAGCACCCAGGCCCAGAGTTCAGGCCCCACAACTGGACCCCCCCCCAAAAAAAAGAATAACTATAGGCAATATCATACATAGGGAAATAGACTGTGGTTTGCTTGTTTGTTATTCAACTTACTGTAGATTTTTAGGAATGCATTCTAGAGTTGGCTGTATAGTCAAAAAAGGATTTTTTTTTTGGGGGGGGGACTTCAACTCTGGGCCTGGGCACTGTCCCTCAGCTCTTCAGTTCAAGGCTAGCACTCTACCACTTGAGCCACAGCACCACTTCCAGCTTTTTCTGTTTATGTGGTGCTGAGGAATCAAACCCAGGTCCTCATGCATGCGACGCAAGCACTCTACCACTGAGCCACTTTCCCAACCCCTAGCCAAAGATTTTATGTTTATAGCACAAAGCTAAAAGCTGCCACTCTCCCAGTAGTGAGACAATATACTATCTGGTAAATAGGGATAGAGGAAGTCAAGACTAGAAAGCCAGCATCTCCTTTGAAATGCTGATTTAAGTCAAACTATTGATTACACTTAGAGTCATGGTATCTATTAATTTCAAGGCCTTTGACTGGTCTAGGGAGACATGTGGTATTTAATCAGAAACTCATCAGATCCATTATATATTAAATGGCAAGGGTCATTTTCACCAAATCCCGTCCACTGATCATACAAATCCACATTTTATTACTACGAGGCTCACATCATTCAAGGGCCTTACTATCATTTGCCAGGAAATAGAATTGGTCTAATACTAAGGTCAGATATTTCTTTTCCTTTAAAAACTTTTTAAAATTCAATTTCATCCGTTGTGGGGCTCAGACTTAGGGCATGGGCACTGTCCCTGAGCTTTTATGCTCAAAGTTAGCGCTCTTCCATTTTGAGCCACAGCTCCACTTCTGGTTTTCTGGTGGTTAATTGGAGATAAGAGTCTCTCAGGTTTTCCTGCCTGGGCTGTCTTCGAACTGTGATCATCAGCTTCCTGAGTAGTTAGGATTATAGGTGTGAGCCGCTGGCATCTGACTAATTTTTTTTTTTTTTTCCCGTCATGGGACTTGAATTTGGCCTGGGTGCTGCCCCTCAGCTCTTCAGCTCAAGGTTAGTGCTCTGCCACTTGAGCTACAGAACACTTCTGGTTTTCTGGTGTTTAATTGGAGATAAGAATCTCACAGCCTTTCCTGCTTGGGCTGGCTTTGAATCAAAATCCTCAGATCTCAACTTCCTGAGTAGCTAGGATTATAGGCATGAGCCACCAGCGCCCAGCTAATTTTTTTAATTAAGTAGTTGTACAAAGAGGTTTTAATTTCATAAGTCAGGTTATGAATGCAATGCATCTTTGTGTGTGTGTGTGTGTGTGTGTGTGTGTGTGTAAGTAAGTGTAAGTGTGTGTTGGTGCTGGAGCTTGAACTCATGGCCTGGGTGATGTTTCTGAGATTCTTTGCTCAAGACTAGTGCTCTACTAATTGGGCCACAGCTCCACTTGCTGCTTTTTGGTGATTAGTTGGGGATGACAGCCTTACAGACTTCCCTGCCCGGGCTGGCTTGGAACCTGGATTCTCAGATCTCAGCCTCCTGAGTAGCTAGATTACAGACTGAGGCACCAATGCCTACCTACAGTGCATCTTGATAAGTGCCACCTCTTCCATTTCTCCCATCTTTCCCAGCCTTACCCATTCTCTCAACTTACTAAGGTCAGATTTTGAAACAATAATTTACTTTATCCAGGATGACAGTTTAGCAGAGAAGTAAATAAAAAAATAGTGTCAAATGCTGTGAAACAAGGAATATTTATTCCTCATGTTTTTCAAACTCTGAAGTAATACAGTCTCCTTTGTTTTTGTTGTACTACGATTTTGAACTCAGATCCTTGAGCTTGCTAGATTGACACTTTACTACTTGAGCCCTACCTCTTGCTTTGCTTTTGCTTTTTGCTGGGGTTATTTTGGAGATGGAGGACTTTTCTGCCTGGGCTGGCCTCTAATCTTGATCCTTCAGATTTTAGCCTCCTGAATAGCTAAGATTACAGGCATGAGCCACTGGCTCCTGGCTCATATTCTTAAATCATTTCCATGAGCACTAGTTGCAGTCATGAAGAAATGTGTGCTATAAATTCAGTTTGAATCTGGCCCAAAGCCTAGTAATACCAGATCTTTAAAGCAAAGTATCATCTTTGTTTTATCTCTGAAAGACTTGGGGAAGGTTTACATTTCTGGAAATGAGGGTGGCAGAGCCAGAAGTCTGACTACCACAGATAGCCAGGGTTGATGTCACCTAATCTTACTAGCTAGACAGTCTCCCTTCTGTCTTGGGTTTTTAGAAGCCCATATGCCTGAGTGGGTTGTGGCTGGAAGGGAGGAAGGATGGTTAGTGGGTGACTTGGATGAAGTTTAGCCCTAAGGTGCAGCCAGGCCCTTTCCCTGGAATGTGAGCCCCGTGGGTCAGGGGCATGGTTCATCTAGAGAACCTTGGAAGCACCACGCCTGGTTCATTAGTAGATGTCTGGGGAAGCCTTTGAAGATGAAACACTTCATAAGCACTTACTGTTTGTGTTTCCTGGACAAACTAGTACTTTGGTCTCCAAGGACTGTTGATCTGGCTTCTTAGCACTTGTCTGGAATTTGCTGCAAATTAAGTAGGAAAAATAAAACATAATAAGAAACAAACAAGCCTGAAGAAATTTTTGAAAAAAACCCAAACCACTGACCTCCCACCAAACCTCCATGCTTTAGCTTCTAAGTAGGATTCTTTACCATTTACCTTTCACATTCTTGGTTTGTGTGCATTCTGTCTTGACCTGTTTCTTCGTGTGTGTGCGTGTGTGTATGTGTGTGTGTGTGTGTGTGTGTGTTTTCCAGCCTCCAGCCTCTATAGAAATTGCCAGCAGCTGACATATGGTGATTGCTGAATAAGCTGCTCACTGACACATGCCTCCTGCAGGCCTGGAGATCTGGCTGGCATGGGTGGTTCTGAACTCCCATTTCATGATTGTTTCATAGATTGTGCCACAGAGAAAGGAGAGGAGAGATGAATAGATGAACCTGTAATTTTGTCTGTTGGTGACAATGGCCAGGAGCAGATGGGTGTTTTGTATCTTTCTTTCTTTCTTTCTTTTTTTTTTTTGAGTGCTGATCCAGGGCCTGGACGCTGTCCCTGAGTTTATTTGCCCAAGATTAGCACTCTACCACTTTAGCCACAGCTCCACTTCTGATTTTCTGGTGGTTAATTGGACATAGGGTCTTACAGACTTTCCTGCTCAGGTTGGCTTTGAACCTCGATCCTCAGATCTCAGCCTCCTGCGTAGCTAGGATTACAGGTGTGGGCCACCACCACTATCTAGTGAAGTCTTACACTGCCAGTGAAGTCAGTAGAGACCTTAGGAGTTACTTTAGTTATTCAGCTATGCTATAGGCCACTGTTTGAGGTATTAGGGACACAACAGTGGAAGAAAATGAAGCAAAAAAAAACCCCAACACTGACACAGTAGGAGAAATAAAAATACAGCCAGCAAGCTGGGCGCTGGTGGCTCACGCCTATAATCCTAGCTACTCAGGAGGCTGAAACTGGGAGCAGAGACAAACCAGTGAACACTCAGGATCCTTGTTTTGAGGATCATAGTTCAAAGCCAGCCTGGGCAGGAAAGCCCCCGAGACACTTATCTCCAACAAACCACCAGAAAACCGGAAGTGGCACTGCGGCTCAGTTGTAGAGTAATAGTCTTGAGCTAAAGTGCTGAGGGACAGCAGCCAGGCCCAGAGTTCAAGCCCCACGACCAACCCCGTCCCCCCAAAAATACAGCCAGCAATCATGCTATAATGTGTCCCATGGTGATAAATATTCTGAAGAAAAGTGGGATAGCCGGGCGCTGGTGGCTCACGCCTGTAATCCTAGCTACTCAGGAGGCTGAGATCTGAGGATCACGGTTCCAAGCCAGCCCGGGCAGGAGAGACCCTGAGACTCCTATCTCCAATAAACCACCAGAAAACTGGAAGTGGCGCTGTAGCTCAAGTGGTAGAGCGCTCGCCTTGAGCTGAAGAGCTGAGGGACAGTGCCCAGGCCCAGAGTTCAAGCCCCACGACCGGACCCCCCCCCCAAAAAAAAAAACTTTTAGGGAAGAAAATATTGGAGAATTGGAGTGGAAAACAGGAGATCTGGTAAAAGAGAGTTTGGATTTTGTCAAAATGGCACTATAAATCCACCGGAGGATTTTGAATGGCCTGGTTTTGGTTGAAAAAAAAATCACTGGCCACTATGTGGAGAATAGGCTGAAGGGGTTAAGGAAGAGTCAGGGAATGGTATGACTACCTGGGATATTTGTGGTTGAGAGAGAATAAAGGATCAACCTATTTTAGGAATGCTGCTTATTTCTTCATCGTTTAGGTTGGTATGAAGGAAGATGGAATTGGAGAATTACAGGCAAGGAAGACGCAGTCTCTTGATTAGAACAAAGTGTAGACCTTGGGAAACTGGCAAGTCTGAACTTTGTCAGGAGTCACAGAGAGCCACTCCTCATTCCACTCCCTCCTTTCTCACCCTTTTCAGAAGTCTCAGGGTAAGATTGGGGGAGGGAAGCACATAAATGATCTTGCAGTGCCTTGGGGTATAGTATAAAATGTCAGAGCTGATGGGATTAAAAAAAAAACAAAACACCAGAGTGAATCCCCCTCCCCTGGGAAAATAAAGTTAACTTTCCCAAAGTCATAGTAGTAGATTTGTCGCAGAACAAGGATCCTGAGTGTTCACTGGTTTGTCTCTGCTCCCAGTTTCAGATGTGGTGTGGGATTCACAGTCCCTTCAGGCTCTCAGTTTGTACTAATGAACTCCAGCCATGACTTCAGCAAATTCAGTGTACATGAAGTTCTGACAAACAAATGGTGGTAATGAGTTTTGCCTTTCTTTTGCCTAGGATCAAGTCTCAGACCGGAGACCTGGTTTTAAGTCTGTTTTTAACCAGACTTCCACTGACCTCCACTTGGGCCCCACTATCCTCAGAAAGCAGCTGCTGTAATCATGGGCAATATCTTTGGAAATCTTCTTAAGAGCCTGATTGGGAAGAAGGAGATGCGCATCCTAATGGTGGGCTTGGATGCTGCAGGAAAGACCACCATCCTGTACAAATTGAAACTGGGGGAGATCGTTACCACCATCCCTACCATTGGTAAGCTTGTGTGTGGTCTTTCGTGCTATAGGCTAGGCAGGGCATCAGCTTACTCCTAGATCCCCCACCTGGCCTCTTCTCCCTAGGCAAGTCCCATGTATTTTGTGTCCCCCCCTCTCTGTCCCCCCCCCTCCCCTGCAAAAGGATCACTTACGAGCTTACTAGCAGGTGTTAGAGCTGGAATTTGCCTACCTACTACAGCCCTCCCTCATGAGGGAAGTTCCCCCCACCCCAACAGTTGCCCTCAGGCACTAGAGTTGGTTTGTTCTCTGTGTTCTTTGGAAAGCCAAGTAAAGGGCTTTGATGTTCCTGCCAGAGGCCTGAACTTGCTTTGGTTTAGATCTTCAGTGGCCAATCCTGGTTAAGACTTGCTTACAAGAGGGAGAATATTTGCTGCATAGATGGGGACACTGGTTCATTGTCATCAGTTCTGTATTTGGAGTTCCAGGATTGTAGCTTTTTTTCTCATTTTTTATGTTGCCTATCTGCACATCTTAGCCTAGGCAAACTGTGGTGGTCAAGGTACATGAGTAGAACTGGTTAAATGGAGAGCCAAAGACTGAATGAACAAGTTGGGAAGGTTGATTCACATTACCCCAGTGGCTGAGTTTCCTGGTTGGGGCTTCCTCATCTGTTTTGACTTCTCTTTATAAGTTTGCTTTATGGCCTTCTGGCTACTTGGTCAAATATCATCAGGCCTGGGGTAGTCTCAGCTTTTCATGATTTGTATCATGACCAAGGCTGGGAGGAAATAGGTCCAAACTAGTTGGGGCATTGTAGGTCTGGTGTTTGAAGCCAAGTGGTCATTGCCTATTTATTTGTTTTCCTCCAAGGGTTTAATGTGGAGACAGTGGAATATAAGAATATCAGCTTCACAGTGTGGGATGTAGGTGGCCAGGACAAGATTCGACCCCTCTGGAGACACTACTTCCAGAACACCCAAGGTATGGCAGATAAAATTCCCAGGGCTGGTATGTGTTGATTGGATATGAGTAGAGGGTGGCTGTCTTATTTGGTTATAGGCAGCCAACCTTTACTCTACTGTGGCTCCAGGTGGTAAAGATGAGGAAAAAAGAGAGCATATATTTGGAGGGTGTGAGGAGGGTGTTGTTTTTGGTGATGGGGGAGGGGAACATCTGTCATCTCTGTGCAGCCCATGCTCTGCCTCCCCAGGCTTGATATTTGTGGTTGATAGCAATGATCGGGAGCGAGTAAATGAGGCTCGGGAAGAGTTGATGAGGATGCTGGCAGAGGATGAGCTGCGGGATGCTGTGCTCCTTGTCTTTGCAAACAAACAGGTAAGATCTCTCCCCATCCCTGAATTTGAGAGCCGGCAACCTTGCTGTGGAAACATGGGCTATTGGGCCCATTGTATGGGAAGTCCTGTAACTGCTCTCAATGTGGAAATGTAAGGAAGCATGAACATGGGCTTCTTTGTGCCCCTCTTATTTGTCTCCCACCCATCTTCACTTAGTAACACATTGGTGTAATAGGTACATCACCTCTGCTCTTTGATTTCCCCTGTTGTGTACTTTATTGGAACTGCCCTTACTTTGGCTGTCAGACAGACTTGATTCTTTAGCCTGTCTGAATTACCTGTTTCTCAACTATCCCTTTCCTTGGTTTCCAGCTCTTCAATGGGATAATATGAAAGATCTGGAGTTCTAAGATGACAGAGTCCAAAGTAGCCCCTTCAGATCTTGGTCTGGGTTTCCTAAGAGGAAGGAAGGGAGAAGGTCCTGGTACATGTCTTTTTGGTAGATGGGTGCTCTAGAAGCCTTTGAAAGATCCTGAGGTGCTTTTGTGTGTCTCCCTCATACACCAGGACCTGCCGAATGCTATGAATGCTGCTGAGATCACAGACAAGCTTGGCCTGCATTCGCTGCGTCACCGCAACTGGTACATTCAGGCGACCTGTGCCACCAGCGGGGATGGGCTGTATGAAGGCCTGGACTGGCTGGCCAATCAGCTCAAAAACAAGAAGTGAGAGCCAGGCAGTCCTGTCCAACTGCCCCACCCACCCTGACATACCTGTTGTGTCCCCACCCCAGCCCTTCCCACCCCTTCCTTCCCATTGCAAGTATGGCTAAGGCCTTGGGTATCATGTCCGCATGCCCAGTAAGAGCCTTGCCTCCCCTTCCTCCCCTCCTCTCCTTTCTGCCCTATCCACTGACATGACCCAATTGCTGTCCTGATGATGAATCATTCCAATTTACTGGATTTAAAACAAAAATGAGGTTGTTATGGTTTCATGGGGTGCCCCTCTCTTCTTACCCTTTGGGTTTTGGGAAGTAGAATGGGGTATTCTCTCTGTTTGCATTGTTTGGCACTGGTTGCTGTGCTCTTGGCATCTGAGTCCCTTCCCTGTCTCCCCTCCCCCAGGCCCCTTTCCTACTCCATCTTCCTTTCCTTCAACACCCTCTCCTTATTCTACATGGAAATTGCACGGGCCTCTCTGTGTGTGCGTGCATGTGTGCGCCTGTATATACATGTATAGAGAGATATATATGTGGGGCCAGGGGAAAGGTTGGGGGGGAGCACAGCTCAGGGCTTACGGCCAGGACACTGCCCACTGGAGCCGGTCATCTATCCCTTCCATGTTGGTGAACTGTAAGGAAGGTGGGATGCTGGACTGCCCCAGTCTGAGACTCATTTTTTCCTTTCTATGGGTAGTTGTTTCTGAATGATAGGACAGATGATGGGTTCTACACAGTCATCAGGGGGTGGCATTTATCTCTACATGACTGTTTGCAAGGAGTACCATTCTGCTCTGCTTGTTAGGAGAGAGGAACCCACTCAAGCCCAGAGTGTTCAACTGATCTCTACCATCCTTAGATCTGTTCTTCAGGAGTTCAAGTAGGGGAGGTGGGGATAGCAAGACTGTTATATGTTTTGAACCCAGGGTGTGGATGGGTGGGATGTGGTATCATGGGGAAGGCCTCAAGTTTTCCACTTTCATTCTCTTGTTATTAGGAGGTGAAGCATGGACAGGCCTGTTTCTAACTTCTCCCCTTTCCGCTTATCTTCTGATCTTAAGGGCTGGGTGATTTTATCCTTTGTTAGAAGTTTTCTTGCCCTAGTAGTTCTGCTGGCCTGATCAGGGCTGAGTGGGTGGTTTAATGAGAAGCCACGGAGTGGGGGTGACGTAGCAGACCTCAATATCAAACCCTCTACTCTGATTCTCTTTTTCTAGACCAGGACAAGCTAACCAATGGAGGGTTTTTTTTTAAATTGTTTCCAGGCCTGCAGACTATCCTTGCTGTCTTCTTTCCTCTAGTCCAACAGCTTTCCTGGTCTTTTTTACCCATTCCCATTAATGAATCTGGGGATTAGAGTGGAGGATAATGGGACCCTAAGTGCTTGTTGGTGCTGGTGGGATGCAGTGGTCTTGAGGGTCCTCCCCTCACTATCCTGTATTGTTCAGAAGCTGCTGTTAAAGTAGCTGTATAGGGGGCACTTGTACTTGAGGTCCTGGCCTAGGGCCTGACTCACAGTTTCTGGGAAGCTGTGGCTGTTTGTAGGCTCCTGTGTGTCTGCTGGCTGTGCCCTGAGCTCCAAGACAGCTGCCTGTAACCTATCTGCTAAAGTCAGGGCCCAGGACCCTCAGCATGACTGAGAGACCCCAGAAGGACTGTCCCAAGCCCTACTCCATGGGGTCAGGCTTCCTGTCACCCTTGTCTATAAACAGGCAGATTCTTACCCCCTGACCCCACTCCAGATGGACTGTGAAAGATTTCAGGGGCGTCTCCCTCAGTGCCAGTTACTTTGTGATGTGTTATTAAGATGTAGGTATGTGCAGGTGTCCTGCTCTCTAGGCCTGTGTGTGTGTGTGTGTGTGTGTGTGTGTGCGCGCGCGCGCTCGTGTGTGTGTAGTATGTGTGTGTGTGTATAGTATGTGTGTGGGGGGGTACTGGAGGTTGTATTTTATTTTACAATGGATTCATTCCTCTGATTCTACAGATGCTTCCCTCCATTTTTTTTTTTTTGCTCTCCTGATTTTCCATGTCTTGCCTGTTGCCTCTTCTCCTCTGAATCTTTTCCTTTGCCGCCTTTATTCATTCACTGCTGTTGCCTATTTTTTTTTCCTTCTCTGATTCTCCACCCCACTTCGTTGTTGGTGAAGATTTTGCCTCTTTTCCTGCCCTGTTCCCTCTGAGACCCTCCCTAAGTTAGATAGATGCCAGTTCAAAATAGGCTTTCCTTGCTTCAGGCCTCACCCATTCCCTCTATTTTGGGGGGCTGCCAGGACCAATTTGGGGCTGCAGGTGCAAGGAAGCTGCCTTGGGGGTTGCATTGTGCTGCTCCAGATCTGTCCAGCAGGGGGTGGTAAATGCTCTTGGTAGTGTCCCTGGCTCGGAGGCCTTTTGGGCAGGGTGATTCTGTATTGCCATTCACCTTACAGCTGTTTTGGAACAGGGTGTTTTATTCCTATTCTATCCACTCCCTTCCTGGCTTTCTTCAGGTGGGTTTAAATTTATGCTTTCTCTCTCTTTCCAGCATTCTTCCTGGGACTCCCCTTCCCCTCCCCCAGGTTTGTTTGTGGTGTTATAGTGCTAAATGCAGTTCTGAAGTGGTTTTTCTCCTTTTTCTTCCTCTGGATATAGACTGTATATGTTTAATAATTCACCTTCTCTATCCTTGCTCAAAATGTGGGATAACGCAATGACTGTGACCCTGGTTGGAAATTAAACATGTTTTATGCAGCTTTGGAGCAGACCTTCATCCTTGATGTGCAGCAGCTGTGTGGCAGTGGGTTCCTGGTAAAGGTAGTCTTGCTTCTGGTTCCTCTTTCTAGACTGCTTCTTCTGGCACAGGGGCAACGGGAACACCTGAAGGGTGGATGGAAAGTGACAGAGGACTTTGGGCCTGCTGGGAAGACTGCTTATATCCTCCCATCCTACTCCACAGGGGATCCAAATTAATTAGGCACCAGAGTACGAGAGCTCTGTGGCCTTGCTCTACTAGTTATGAAGGACTAAACCATGAATTCAGCTGTATTTATCACCTGTTGGTAGACAGTGATTGGAAAACTTCACATTTCCTCTATTCTCAGGCCTTCCTGTCCCCATCACCAAGTGATTCTAGTTTGAAATACAGTCCCCTGATGCATCAGTTAGAGTCCCCTCCCACGTAGGTCTGGACTTTGGCAGTCATAAGCACGAAGGATAAGCATCTAGGTAGTGTAATGAACTTGATTCTTTTACAGTGTATGGCCCTGTACAACTCTACTTCTGGGAGATGGTTCCCCTTTGTCAGGAAGCCATCCTTCATCCAGAGACTGCACAAATATCTTAGGGAATGGTCTTCTTTTTCATAAAACCTCCATTATCCCATCCTTTTCCCACCCCTGCCCATTCCTGTCCCTGCACTTCTGAAGGTGCTATCCTTAAGCTGGGGGAGCCACGCAGCCCTCCTGTTCTCACTACTCTCTTCAACTTTTAGTGAAGAGGTCTCAACCCACTGTGGTGGGAAGAGGACGGAAACTAGGCATGCAATAAATTTGAGTCCCAAGTACCAATGTGAAGTCTATGATATGTATTCAGTTAGCCCCTCTGTTGCCTTCCTTGCCAATTGTCCTTTTTAGCCCGTGACCTATTATTAATGTTATTTACTTTAAGGACTTTTAAGTGCTTCTTGCCCACATTTGGCCTTCAAACTACTCCAGTCAGACACCCCTGTATCAGTCTGTAGCTTCAAGCATTATCTACTTCCCCTCAACATCATGTGATACTTTTCCTCCTTCAAGGCTTCTTCAAGGTTCTACTTGATGACTGATTGCTATTAACAGCACCTTTCCCAAGTGCTTTGTGTGTTAATAAATATATAAATCCCAGCACTGTATTTTTTATAAGACAGTAATAATGGATCATTTTAGCTGACTACAAGCCACTGAGTGTTCGAGACACAGAAGTCTCCTGACTGAACAACTTGGGAAGATCTGACCTGTTCCTTTCTGCCCCCCTTAAGAATGAGGTAGAGGGGAGCCCTCTTGTGGCAGTTGCTTAAACCTGCCAGCTTTGGGGGAACATGGAACAAGAAGGAGGCTGAACCTGAGAAAGTGCACAAAAAGCAGCTCCATCCTTCAGAACATGAAGAACTCGTCAGCCATCACTTGGCAGAGGGCATAGATTCAGGGTACAGTACATTTCAGGATGATATGGGCAAGGAGCTTCCAAAATGAGCCTGGAAAAGGTGGAAAGGCTTGGATTGGCCTGGGTGGAATGATGACAGTGAGTATGTGTGAGTTTCTCAGACCCGAGGGGCAAGGTCTGAAGGTTCTTGGGAGCCTCATCACTGCACTCAGCACTGCAGGTCCAAGTGCTTAGAACAGAAAGGGGGCACATGTTATCTTCTGTGTTTTTATATATTTAAAAGGGAGCAAACCCACTGAAGGGGGAGGGACTCTGAGGATAGATTTTAAAATAATTTTATTAGCCAAGCACTGGTGGCTAATGCCTGTAACCTTAGCTACTCAGGAGGCTGAGATCTGAGGACCACAAGTTCCAAGCCAGCCCAGGCAAGAAAGTCCATGAGACTTTTAACCACCAGAGAATCAGAAGTGGAACTGAGGCTTAGGTGATAGAGCACTACCCTTGAACCAAAAGAGCTCAGGTACAGTGGCCAGACCCTGAGTTCAAGCCCTGTGACTGACAAAATCATAAAAATAATTTTATTAGCATAAATGTACACATGCATACTAATGTGTATTGATCAGATTCAACCTATCTTACTCTTTAATCAGTTGCCTTCTATGCTGGGGATCCAGTTCTGGGGTGCTCTGGAATCCTTTGGAATGTCTAATGCATGCTAGGAAGTAGAAGTTGGAGAATAAGAGTACATCCCTTCCTTGGCTGCTGCTTATTGTAGGGAATGGTGTTCAGAGGCAAGCTATCCTAATGCTAGGAAGCTTCTTTCCAGTTTGAAACGGAGGTAGAAGGACCAGAGTTCAGTTCTCTTATAACTAGTAGCTAATAGTCACTAGGGAGTGATAGAAGCCAGATGCCTTCCTTCCTTTGCAGGTTTTTCTTTGTAATTGGATTTCCTGGCCCTGACTGCCAGGGTGAGTAAAAATGACCCTGAGTTCTTGAGAAAGGTGAAGAAGGTTAGGACGGAGGAAATGGAATCCCTGAGTAGGGTAAGGGGAACAAAGGCACTAATGGCCAATGCGGATCTGGAAGTGAGGAAGTTGGGCTAAGACCATTTATTGTCAAATCCCAAAGGTATCTACTTGTTGTGTCACTTAGATGTAAGCTGAAGAAGAGTAGCTGTGCTATAGTGCAGATGATCATATGACTCCTGAGCTGGTGGGTAGAAAAGGACACTTAAAGCAAAACTGATTCTCTGTTTAGTGGTGATCAGTCTACCTAAACAAATTTTTTTTTTCTTTTTTGGTCATGTGCTTGAACTCTGGGCCTGGGCACTGTCCTTCACCTCAAGGCTAGTTCTCTACCACTTGAGCCACAGCACCACTTCCGGCTTTTTCTGCTTATCTGATGCTGAGGAATCAAACCCAGGGCCTCATGCATGCAAGGCAAGCACTCTACCACTGAGCCACCTTCCCAGTCCCCCAAACAAATTTTCTACCACCCTTTCTCACAAGCCAGTCAGGCCAGACCACTCAAGAGGTTTGGAAATGAGCCTGTTTGCCTACCCTCTACCTCCAACCCTCCATCCCATACATTGCATTGTTTGGAACACTGAAGGTGTAGTTTGGTGATAGAGCACATGAAAGCCTCACATATGGAAGGTCCTGAGTTTAATCCCCAGCAACATACAAATGAGCAACAAAGCAACATATTGTTCAGAGCTATCCTAGGATAGTGTTGAAACAAGGACTTTTTAACGGTTGAAGGGCCTAGCTTGGGCCTCTGAACTACAGAGATTCTTTGAGTTGTGAGTATAAACAGCACTGCTTTGGTTCTAAATTACAGATAGGGGGAAGAGGATATCTGTTTTTGCCAGATCTTACATTGGGACAATACTTTCTTAGAGCAGCCATAGAGGAAGAGTGGGGGAGGGAGGTAACTTTTAAGGTAGTTGAGTGCACAAACATACTTAACAGAGGATCTGGGCTGTAGTTCAGTAAGTAAAGCTTGTGCTTAGGTGCTGAGGCCCTGGATTCCATTCTTTGTACCCCAGAACAAGACCGTTAGACCTATTTTGATCCCCAGCAACAAGGTACACAGCTTAGTGTCTGGCATCTAATAAATATGTGAACTTCATGAGTAAACTAAGTGAATGAATATAGTGCTGACTGAAGTGGAATACCTCTGAGGGTTCTAGGAATGGGCCTCCCATTACATTGTGCCATTAGCCTGGGTAAAGCTGGCTCTGCTGCTGTTCCCAGAAGCACATCTTTCTCTTTCAGGGTCCTTTGATACAAAGAAATGGCTCCTGCTGGCTGGGAAGATGGCTCAGTGGTGGAGTGCTTGCCCTGCATGCATAAGGCTCTAGGTTCCATTCCTTGGCACCACATAAGCAAAAAACAAAAAACCCGGAAGTGGTACTATGACTCAAGTGGTAGAGGGCTAGCTTGGAGCTGAAGAGCTGAGGGACAGTGCCCAGGCCCAGAGTTCAGGCCCCATGACTGAGAAAAAAAAAAAAATTGGAATGGCTCCTGCCTTGGTCCCTCCTGGGTCCAGGTATGCTTGGGCCTCCTTATGCAGGTGGATATTGTCTGAAATACTCTTGCCATTTGTTTATTTTTGTGCCAGTCTTGGGACTCACAGACTTTCCTGCTCAGGCTGGCCTCAGATCTTAGCCTCTTGAGTTGCTAGGATTCTAGGCATGAGCCACTAGCATCTGGCCCTTGTCCATTTCTTTTCCACTACTGCTCTCTTCTACTCCATCCACTTCCTCTTCCCACCTAGGAGCCTAAACAGACTCCAGATGATCTGGACAAGACAGTACTCTTTCATCTTCAGGACCCTATTCTAGTTCTGCTGCATCCGTGCAGTGTATACAGGTTCCCCCTACTCAGATACTTTATAGATGTTATCAGTCTGTGGGTTTCGTTTTTAAAAATCAGCCCTACACTTCCTCTTCATTTATCTTCCTCTTCTCTTTAGCCAGGTTAGTCTATTTTTCCCAAAAATCTGAGTGGGTAGATAATCCTAACCTAGTCAGGAGATCTGAGGATAGCAGTTTGAAGTCAACTAAGGCAGGAAAGTCTATGAGAGTCTCATCTCCAATTAACCACCAAAAGCCAGAAGTGGAGCTGTAGCTCAAGTGGTACAGCACTAGTCTTGAGCAAAAAAGCTCAGGGACAGCAGCCAGTCCCTGAGTTCAAGCCCTAGGACACCTATGTATGCGTGCATGCATGGGCATGCACACACACACATTTCAAAGCTAGGCACTTATATTTCACACCTGCTATCCAAGCTATTCAGGAGGCTGAGATCTAAGGATCCTGATTTGAGGCCAGCCTAGGCACAAAATTTCATGTGAATTCCATCTCCAGCAAGAAGCTGGGCTGGAGGCATGGCTCAAACTTCACAGTGCCAACTCTAAGCCAGAAAATGGAGTGAGATCCAGCCCAGTGAGTGAGTTCAAGACCAGATACTAGCAAAAACAACACAACAAAAACTTTCAAGATGTAATGTGTTTGACTTTGTCCACAAACTTCCCTGACTGCATAATCACAAGGTCTTTTCTTTCTTCCCACCACGGCTCTTTTACTTCTGCTAGTACCACTCATTTAACACCCACCTCCCACACATTGCCTTGTATTGATACACATCTTGTTCCTTTATTTAACATTTTAATTAAAAATTATTTCTATAACCTAAGTACTTTTCTTTCTTTCATTTTGTCAGTTGTGGGGCTTGAACTCTGGGCCTGAGCGCTGTCCCCCAGCTCTTCAGCTCAAGGTGAGCGTTCTGCCACTTGAGCTGCAGCGCCACTTCCGGTTTCCTAGGGATTTATTGGAGATAAGAGTTTCACGGACTGTCCTGCCTGGGCTGGCTTTGAACCGCGATCCTCAGAGCTCAGCTTCCTGAGTAGCTAGGATTACAGGCCACCAGCGCCTGGCCCTAATTACTTTTCATTGGGAGAGATACAAACAATGCAGAACATACAGTCATACAAAACATGTTCTTTTAACTCTTTACACTCTCATCCCAAACCTAAATGCCCACATTTCCTCTTCTAAATATGTGTACACACGGGGGGGGGGAGTTAATATATAACAAACTCATATGTTTTCTGCTTAAGGGTATATGCATTTGCCCTTGAGATTTTTCATGTTAGTATTTCTGTATTTCACAGTTTAACAACATTCAAAATGAAACATGTCTAGAATCTGTTACTCAGAAGATATTGTGTGGGCAGGGCTTGGGCAGCTCCAGTAAGTGTCACAGGCCTGTCCTTGCCATCAGTAAGCTGGCTTTTTTTCAGAGATAGGAAGGAAATGGGGACATACACAGATAACTGCAACACAGGAAGATATTGTCTCCAAGTATATGCTTGAAGTTCAGAAATGGGAAATCATTGTTAGACAATCAGGGATTCACAAAGGAGGTATTTGAACTAAGCTGGAAGGGAATTTACCAGGTAAAGGGAAAAACATGAGCTAGGGCAGAGATGTAAACACATGATGTAGGTTCATTTGAGGCCAGACCACAGTCCAGGAACAGGAAGATTTGGTTCAATTCATAAACATTTATGTGTCAGACATGAACAATAGGATATAGAAATGAGAAACATGAGGTTTCTGTCACTAAAGCCCTTTTTCTGTTTAATGAGAGAAATGACCAGTTTGGAAAGTGGATTAGGGCTGGATTACAAAAGCTTTTAGTGAACACTGTGTCATGTGGAGCAATAGTGATATGACAA